GATGACCTTCCTAGAAAATCCAGGCTTGTGGTGGTTGGAAAAACATTTGCAAAGATGTACACAGTTTCCCAGCCACATCACCTATTTTCAAAGATATTTTCACTTTGGTCTCTGAATTGGGAGTGCTGTGTACTGAAGGGGTTTCAGGAGGGCTTATAGAAGGGGCTGCGATAAAATTGCATTCCCCTTAGATAAAAGAATATGATGAGATCGTTGCATAATATTGGAATTCCTCCTGTGCCAAGCTTTCATAAGAAACCTGGTTAAATCTTGGTTTATTTTTAATAACCATCCTTTTGGTTAGAATAATACAAATTTTAAGAAAATCATTTGTATCCAGGGATATGAGTAGAAGGCTTGGCTTTTAAGTTAAACACAGCCTTGTTTTGGGACAGCGTTTATAAATAATGAAGACATTCCATGTTGCTTGCTGAGTCTGGCAGCAACTGGACTGGATCTGTACAGCCACTCATTGCAGTTAGTGCGATCCCCAGGACTTTAAGGAGCGGGTTACCAGTTTCTTTGAAACTGGCCTTCCTGTTTAGACACTAGACAGCAAGAGGGATGAGATAGTTATGGGTGAAGTATTACTGACTTCCACAGAAGAGGAGTTCAGAACAGATGGCAGGGTATGCAAACGTGATAGGTGAAATTTTGCTTTGTCTTAAGGCTCTTTGTTAAATAAAGTAACTCTAGAGGCCAAAACAAACAAACAAACAAGCATACAAACAAAAAAAGAATATGGAGACATGATTAGAATAGGTATGAGTTGATACTAGTGACCAAATAATTGCACATAAATTCTGAGGATTGTGAATGTTATATAATGTTGCATTATATACCTCAGAGTTACATACATAAATATTTTCATTTTATCTATTTAAAATTCCATCTTTTGTTTTAGTCAGTTTTTTTGGGGGGGGGGCCCAACTTGTCACCCACTCTGGAGTAAAGTGACACAATCATACCTCACTGCAGCCTCAAACTCCTGGCCTCAAGTGATCCTCCTGCCTCAGCCTCCCAAAGTGTCGGGATTATTGACACGAGCCATCTTGTTTTCCTCAACGCTTTGGTTTTGTTGCCAAATAGGAGTTATTACTTCTTTGATCATGTTGCCACGACATATGTAATTTAGAAAAAGGCCAGGGAGAGAGAGAGCTTTCAAAGATTGACAAGAAAGAGCATCTGCCCTCTGGATGTTCAGTCTAGTGATGAACCCAGCACTAATTAGAAGGTCCCATATGTTCTAGGCTTGGTGGGTGGCTGCTTTTCAGGGTTACAATCTGCTGACTTGTTTCGGTCTTCTTTTTCATGACAACAAAGGCAAAGAAGAATTATGAGCAGAAATGCCGGGACAAAGATGAGGCGGAACAGGCTGTCAACCGGAGTGCCAACCTGGTAAACCCGAGGCAACAAGAAAAGGTACCTTGGAGGGCTGACAATCTGAATGAGAGACTTACATATACCAGGTTAAAGCCAACGAAGAATCTTAATTTAAAAAAAAATGAACTCGTAGAAGATACTCTAAGTCCCTGGCAGTATCTTCCTTTAGGTTATTGGAGTCCTTTGGACCAGAAAAACTGTGGCCACAATTTTGAAATTGGGGTAGAACTAGAGGATACCCATGGCGGAGGGAGTAGGGGTGATAAGAGGTGGGAAGAAGTTCTGATGGTTTCATCTTTCTTCAAAACTCAGCTCATATGCTTCGTAGCCAAGCTGCCTCTTTCTGGGGTGGACTGTAAGTTTAATTTTGTAATACATGCTCATGTATATGAATATAAGATTTCAGCAACTCGAGGGCAGGGGTATGTCTTTAGGGAGATGTAAGGCAGGACACTTTATGGATATCTTCCAATAGCGACAAGATTAGAGGGCAAGTCCAGTGATTTGCTCATGAGGGAAACGTTGGTAGGATTTGGACCAGACCTTGTCTCTTCACGGGCGTTGCTGTTAAATGTTTTGCCTGTGGAAGCCTGGCCCAGTATTCCCAACTCTTGTTCTTTTTTGTCTTCACAGCTTTTTGTCAAACTGGCAACTTCAAAGGCTGCAGTAGAGGACTCTGGTGAGGGGGCTGCTCCTACAGATCGGGAAGGGTTGGTTGGTGGGGTTTACACGATCCTCAATATGTCCAGAAAAAAGGTTGTTTTCTATACCTCATGGTAAAGAATATGTGGTATACACGTATAGTAGAATTAACAAGATACCGGAAGGGAAGACAGGAGGAAGGAAGGGAGAGAGAAGAAAGGGAAGAAGGGAGGAACGGAGGAAAAAAAAAAAAGAAATATCATAATCCCTGACAGTGGGAGAAAGCAAGCGAGGCAGGAGTTTCTGGCGGCTGGTGGCTTCGACCTTGCTGCCTCATCAGTAAGTGAACGGAGGTGGTGGAGGCGTGTAATGACTGCTTCGTAATCAGGTGTTCACTCTGATTTACTGGGGACATCTATGTAAAAGCTCATGTCGGCCCTTGTCGCCTGATCTTCTGCAAAAGAAACTGCCAAGTTGCAAGGCTTTGTTGTCACTGAAATCTAAGCAAGCCTAGACCCAGTGTTTGCAAAGGCCTCTATAACAATAATAATTCCCAGAATATCCTGCAGGAAAAAGTCCTCTCGTGACCGTGGTCACTTAAGAAGTCTCTAAATCAAAAACTAAACTAACTTGGTGCCTCTTTAGGGCTCCAGGTAGCTCTTTTCTTTACATCTGTCATCAGACAATTTTCCTGAAAGTGAAAGGTGACCAGAAATATTGAAGTGGAATTAGACGCAGGAAACCCTGGCCGAGGTTTTTCATCAGCTTTTATTTCTTTTTCCTTGGAACATTTCTTGCTGAATGCTTGGTTCGATGCTTTAAAAGAAAGAGATTATCTTCTTTGCTAATTTCATGAAGATATTACCAGGGTGAGAGATGTCCTTCCAATGTTCCGCACTCCTTGGGGCCTGTGAGGTCAGCACAACTGAGTTTCTTTTGCCGTTTGAGATGAACCTGTGAGATGGGTCTGTGAGCCACCCTCCTGTCCAGCTTCTGACCCTGGGCCCTCCCTTCTATTGCAGACAGATCGTACATGCAGCACATCAACGCACTGGATAAGGTCCGGGAAGAGTGGCAGAGTGAGCACATCAAGGCCTGCGAGGTACCCGGAACTAGAAGCTGTGCAGGGCCAGGGCAGGTCTTCTGCTTAGAACCTAGAGAGTCTATTTATGTGTTATACAGGCTGGCCATAAGTTCTCGTGCAATTTAAAATAGTTGACGAAAATCGTTGACTATTTTAAATTGCACAGGAACTTTATGGCCACCCTGTATTATAGAAATGCTCTGCCCCCTGGTATGGCACCATTCTCATTTCCAATCCAAATTTTCTACCACCTACATACTCCCCATCTCTTTATTTATTTTGAATGGGAAAGAAGTTGGTGGATTACTTGTAATTATCCTACAGTTTTAAAAGAGAAAAACATACGTAGGAACTCTCCTGATGATTTTATTACCTATTTTAGGTTACATAAAATAATTAAAGTGTCTCTGTTTATTTTTGTTCATAATTTTTTTTGGAGTGTGATACTTCTTGAAGCAACCTCCAGGACGAACTCCAGGCTTCCTCTTTTAAGTCTCGCCATAGAAAATGGATTCTCCCCTTACACCTTTCTGATTTCTTCTGCTTCAAACCGTACAATTCTTTGTTGATTTTTTTTTCATTGTACATTATAAAATGCACCTTCCTATTTAGCCTTTCCTCAGTGTCAAAAGCATGATGGTCTTCCCCTCTTTCTTGGATTTCTGTTGTTCACATTGCTTGCAAACTCAGTGAGGAGATTTCCCCTGTAAGAAAGGTGCGTCTCCATTTTTCCTCCACTCTTCGTCTTATGTAATGAGCAAAGGATGTAGTAGTTGCTGTTCATAACTGCAACTTTCATCAGCCAAAAGAATATTTTTTCCCACCATTGGTAGGACCTCCTTGTAAATCTGTAACATCCACGGTACTAATCAGCTCTGTCCACTCTTGCCATGAGCTTTTTCTCTTCTAAAATAACTATCAGTTTTTCAAATTGCCCAGGTTGTTTCTTCCTGTAACTAGTGATCAGCTGTGTTTGAGGGCCAAAGAATGTACTCAGTATTGTCACTAACCTTTTGTCCTAGAATGAGAGAAGCACACATGCACACACACACACACACACACACACACACAAATGCACAAATGTGCCGGACATCTTCTGACATTGGAGTGGCACAGGGAAATCATTATTTTGGACATAAAGAGGTTTGACGTAAGATTGGAAAGGATTTTAAGAACTCGGGGGTGAGTAAGAAATCATAAATGTAAGTGAAGACTGGGCAATTGGAATAGTTTCCCCCAAGCATCATCTTTCTCCCTCTTCCCCTCCTGACCACACTGGCCAGCTCTGTTTAAAGCTTAGTCTAAAGCAGCGGTTCTCAACCCACAGGAACTGTATTAAAGGCTCGAGGCATTAGGAAGGTTGAGAACCACTGGAAAGGTTGGTTAGTCCAAGCAGGAAAAAGCTGAATCAGCTAAATGTTGATTAAGCAATTACCTTTGGAAAGTCTTGCCTGTACCCACTGGGTTCTCTGGGAAATACAGAGCAGATAAGCAGGCTTTGGCAATTTTTTGTTCTGTTTTTTACTTTTGTGATACCTTTGATTTTACCATTGCTCCCTTTATTTTCTGCCCATGACCTCACAGTTTTCCAAAGGAAATAAAAGACATAACCTGGAATCTTCTTCAAGTGTCTGCCATGGTGCCTACACATTTTCTTACTAGTGGTTGTCAAAGTGTGGTCTCAGGAGCAGTAGCATTAATGTCACCTGGGAACTTGTTACAGATGCAGGTTATCAGACCAACACTGTACAGTGAATCAGAAACTGGGCCCTGGGTAGGGCTCAGCAATGTCCGTGTTAATAACCCTTCCAAATGATTCTGATGTGAATTCAAGTATGAGGTCACTGATTTATACACACACACACACACACACACGCACACACACGCACACACGCACACACACAGAGTGAAAAGGGCCTGCTCCCTGCCCTATCAAGATTTCACCCTGCCTATCAAGCCTTTCCCCATCTCCTTGGGCACAGAGAACTTGTGAACCTTGGTTATCTTGCACACATCCCCTCACTTTAAAACCCACTAGCTTTTGCTTCCCATTTACTACCCTCTGCTTCCTTCACAGCCACACTTTGAACATGTCTCTAAGTCCTGTCATCCCTGCTGCCCCAGACTGCTGCATCTGGCGTTTGCTCCCCGCGACTGCTCTCTGGGAAGGCACCATCAGGCCCTTTGGTGGAGGTCCAGTGGGCCTTTGCAGATTTTGTCTAATCTAATTTGACCTGTCTCTACTATCTGATGCTGTGGGCCACCATACTCCTTTTTGGCTGGGGCCGGGCTTAAACCTGCCACCCCAGTATATGGGGCCAGCGCCCTACTCCTTGAGCCACAGGCACTGCCCAACTATGCTCTTTCTAAAATACCCCTTTTCCGCTTTACTTCCTTAACTCCATGCTCTCATGGAAAGCCTGGAATGAGGCCATTATTATAAGCCTTAAAAACATGCAAAACAATATATACGTTGTAAAAACCTACCTGAGAATGGTAAAGTTTAGAATTATAGCTATTTCTTGGGAAAGAGGAA